CTTCTGTAACTCATGGAAAAACTCTCACTTCAGGGCTGCAGTAAAAAAAAGATACTTTTTTTAACCTTAGTGTGTGAGGTTATCCATCATTTTGATGCAAAATGAGATAGTTGAAGCCTGAAGTAAAGATAGGATATACTGAAAATATATGAGGTGGTATCCAAAAGTTTCTAGTTTTGTAACATGCCAACAGATGGCAACACAAGGTTGCAAGCACAGTCACAGGGAACACCGACCTTCATAAGTCACTGTGCCAAAATACATTGTCATGTGTAAATCAGGAGCTGTGCAACTGGTACTATTCTGACCACGTGCTTTACCACGCCTGCTATTTCATCATAGACAGCTAGTTAGAGCAAAGAGCAAACAGAAATTCTGCATGAAACTGGGCAAATCAGTGGATCTCCATAATGTTGTCAGAACATTGGCCTTTAAGCTGGATCTTCATCTTCGGGAAGATGGCATTGTTGTGGGGGTTGAGCTTGTTGAAGGTCTTCCTGATCTCTCGTTGTCTTCCGGTGATGTACTTCCTCTCTTGAAGCGCACGTGCCATTCAAAGCACCTCGAATAACTCTTCGCAGCATCACTGTAAACTTGCCGAATCATATCAAACGCCTCTGTGGCAGATTTACCCAGCTTCACACAGAATTTCATGTGTGCTCTTTGTTCTAACTTGCTGTCCATGATGAAATAGCAGACATGGTCAGAATAGCACCAGTTGCACAGCTCCTGATGTACACAGGATGATGTCTTTTAGCACACTGACTTATGAAGGTCAGTGCTCTATGTGACTGTGCACGTGGCCTTGTGCTGCCATCTGTTGGCGTGTTACAAAACTAGTTTAGAAACATTTTGATACCACCTCATATACCAAATTATTTGTTCCCTCAGTATTACTGAAAATGGCTGTCCCCATAAATATATACAGATGTATTTCAGGTGATCAAGCAGAAATGCCAGGTGAAGTTTCCTCTGACTGATACTGACCCTCCCAGATGTGTCAATATTCACCCTGCTGCACTTAGTGGTTGCTTCGACTGAATTGGAAGTAATGTCATTGCTTTGTCCTGCAGAAACATTTGATTTAGCTGGAAAAACTAGGGGATGCAGCAGAAAACTAGAGGATGCAGCAGGGGTCTCAGGAGATCAGCACTCCAGGAAGAAACTTCACTGGCAGTTTCTGTTCCATGGTGCAGCATTAGGCTGTACAGACAGCAGGAAGACTAAGTAGTTTCTGCTTTATGGTACAGATTTTAATGGAACCTTTAGTTTGGTAACAGGGTCAATATAAGCTCTTTAAAGTGGTTCTAAAATGTTTTTTTTTTACATTAATGCATTCTCTGCATTAAGGTAAAATACCTTCCAGTACCTGTGCCCCCCCCCCCCCCCCCCCATCCTTGAAAGCTTACCTGAGTTCAGGGGCGGACTGACAACTCATGGGGCCCCCGGGCAATAGGGGATCATGGGGCTCCTGTGTCCTTGCCCAAACTCAAAAAAGCCTATGAAAAAGGTACCAGGGGCATCTCATGAGGCCCCCTACTGGCCCCGGGCCCTCGGGCAGTGCCCGAGTTTCCAAATGGTCAGTCTGCCCCTGCCTGAGTCCTTTCACACTCCAGCACTGTCCCAGCTGCAGTGCCCCTGCTGTCTCTTCTTGGTCTCTTTCAGGAGACAAAGGCAGCAGTGAGATCCATAGCCACCTGCTACTGTCAGTCACGTCCTGTGAGAAGGGAGCAGGGGGCATGGCTATGCCACACAGTGTGTGTCTATGGATACACACAGACTGGCTCAGGGGCACGCTTTTTTTAAAGAAAAAATCATATACTTTAGTACTGAATTGTTAAAATGGATAAAGAATTTGACATGTAAAGCTATCCATCATGTGGCTGTTGAAAGACATTATACATGCATTACTTTAGAGACTATTTCAATATCTTTAACTGTTTATTGTATTTTAAATAGTGAAAGTTCCCTCCAGACCCATCCGCATGAAAGTGTGAAATTACACTCACAGACATAATGTGAGATCGCAGGAGGTCAATTACTTATAGATGTGTTTTTTCAACCCACCATTTTGACTGATTTGTTTTGCTCGTGTATGGCCTATGGGCATTTTGTTCCTCAAAGAAACCCATTAAAAATGAAAAAATCTGCTATATACAGCTATACAGATTGACGCATGTAGAAAAATGGTCCATCCAATTAAAAGATCACTGTTTAGATCCAGGTATGTACAGTATTTATTTGAAAAATCAAAAATCATGGTATGTGTTTTATATGCAGCCAGTGTATTTTCTGTACCTGAATGTGCTTTAATGTTAGCTTCTCGAAATCCCCTACACCACAAGATATAGACTGGGTGAACATTGACTTAGACCCTGTTGTAGGGCACAGAGCTGTCCACATGACCCCAGGAGCTTGCTGACAGCCAAGAGAGCAAGGTGATAACTGGGGAAGAGCGAAGTGACTTTGTCAGAATTGATTTTGCCAGCAGCAACATTTCCTTAAAACAGAAACACACAATTTCATTGATTGAGTTGCTTAGGTGAATGTGCTTGGATACAACAAACCTACGTTTCCTTAGAGGACGCTTTGTTTAGGAGGTTGTGTTCAGGGTAGTTTCATTTATTTCATTAGTATTAGATTTTGTTTGTGTATTTGATTTTATTTTTGTACTGTACTTTTTACTTTTTATTTTTGTGAAAATTTAAATTAGACTGAGGGACCATTTATTGGCACCAGAACAGGTTCAGGATAATTAAAGAGAGGCGTTTAGGAGCTGTTTAAAGCCTATTGCACCCTCAATAATTAGCACTCTTGCCTAGCAGCACTAGGGTCATCGGTTTCAATCACAACCACAGCACTACCTGCCTGGAGTTTGATTGTTCTCCCTGTGCCTGTGTGGGTTTTCTCCGGATACTCTGTTTTTTCTCCCACACTCCAAATACATGCTGGTAGGTTAATTGGCTCCTGTCTAAATTGGGCCTAGTATATGTGTGTGTGTGTGTGTGTGTATAAATGTGAATTAGGGACCTTAGATTCCTTGAGGCCAGGGGCAGATGTAAATGTACTCTATATATATATATATATATATATATATTGACAGTTGTGACCAAAATTATTCAACCCCCAATGCTGTAAAGGGGTTTAGGGACTATAGTGTACATTTGGAATTGTATTCAGAATCAAATCCTACAAGGACGTTGTAACTACCCAAATGCAACTAAAATGACATCAATTGTTTATGTAATACAGTAGTAAATGGTTCTTATGTGGTTTCTTCATTGCCACAATTATTCAACCCCTTAAAGACTACCACTCTGAAGAACAGAGGTTCATACAGGTGCTTTCCATCAGGTATTGAAAACACCTGTGGATGTCACCGAGCAGCAATCAAGCATAATAAGCACCAATTAGGCAGCTTTAAAATGACTGTGATACTCAGCTCCTTCTAGACATTTACTGGTGTGGTTACAAACATGGTGAAGGCAAGAGAATGGTCCAGGAAGACAAGAGAAGAGGTGATTTCTCTTCACAGGAAGGGCAATGGCTATAAGAAGATTGCAAAGATGTTAAACATACCAAGAGACACCTTAGGAAGCATCATTCGCAAATTCAAGGCAAAGGGCACTGTTGAAACGCTACCTGGTCGTGGCAGAAAGAAGATGCTGACTTCGACTGCTGTGCGCTACCTGAAGCGTAGAGTGGAGAGAAGTCCCCGTGTGACTGCTGAGGAACTGAGAAAAGATTTGTCAGATGTGGGTACAGAAGTTTCAGCCCAGACAATAAGACGCACACTGCGTAATGAAGGCCTCCGTGCCAGAACTCCCAGGCGTACCCCCTTGCTGTCTCCAAAGAATAAGAAGAGTCGACTGCAGTATGCCAAAAGCCATGTGGACAAACCACAAAAGTTGTGGGATAGTGTTCTGTGGACTGATGAAACAAAATTAGAACTGTTTGGGCCCATGGATCAACGCTATGTTTGGAGGAGGAAGAAAACAAGGCCATGATGAAAAGAACACCTTGCCTACTGTGAAGCATGGTGGAGGGTCAATCATGCTTTGGGGCTGTTTTGCTTCTGCAGGTACAGGGAAGCTTCAGCGTGTGCAAGGTACCATGAATTCTCTTCAGTACCAGGAGATATTGGATGGAAACGTGATGCAGTCCGTCACACACCTGAGGCTTGGGAGACGTTGGACCTTTCAACAGGACAATGATCCCAAGCATACCTCCAAGTCCACTAGAGCATGGTTGCAGAGGAAAGGCTGGAACATTTTGGAGTGGCCATCGCAGTCACCAGACTTAAATCCGATTGAGAACCTCTGGTGGGACTTAAAGAAAGCAGTTGCAGTGCGCAAGCCTAAGAATGTGACTGAACTGGAGGCCTTTGCCCATGAAGAATGGGCGAAGATACCCGTAGATCGCTGCAAGACACTTGTGTCAAGCTATGCTTCACGTTTAAAAGCTGTTATAACTGTAAAAGGATGCTGTACTAAGTACTAATTGAATGTCACTTGGGGGTTGAATAAAACTGATAATGCTGTGAGCACAGAAAAGACATTTGTGGTTATTTCATTATAACTGTTATGTTATATTTGTCTGACCTACAAGTGCCTCTTTAATGTAAATGTAAGCAAGATGACTGAATGATCAAAAGCAATGTCAAACTGGCCAAAACACTCAATTTCAGTGGGGGTTGAATAATTTTGGTCACAACTGTATGTGTGTGTGTGTGTGTGTGTGTGTGTAAAGTGCTGCATAAATTGATGGCGCTATGTACCGGTAAGTACCTGTAATAAATAAATTAAAACTACCTAGCCCATTGACTCAAATGCATTTAGCCAAACTGGTAAAAGTTCATTGAAATCTCTTGATTTTTGAGGAAATTTTGGAGAAATTAATAGTGTCAATGAATACTCTCAATTTTCGTTCGGGACATTGTTGAAGTGCACCTGTCATTTGTTATTTGTTAATTACCATTTCTGGATCTTGTATATGTTCCAGCTTTCAACACAGCAAAGTGTGAGAAATTACAAAAAGAGAAGGAGGAGCTGGAAATTAAATTTGACAATGAAGTGAGGAAGCTTGAACGGCACCAACAGGAGGAACTCCAAACACTGAAGGAGCGCCTACAGCTACAGTGTGATGAAGAGATGGAGCGGCTACGAGCAGAACAGAGTATCCAGCTGCAGAGGATCCTATTCCAACACCAGGGACAAGTCAGTACAGTCTTCTGTGTTAATGATTTCCTGAGTGAACCCTGTGATGTAAAATTATATTAGCACACATACCAGTCAGTGAAATATACCTTTTGCTTAAACCTGACAGTAATGAGATTCATTAAGCCTTCATTTCTGTACTAGTTGGCTAGAATAGACCATTGTTCACACTTGTTGCTTAACCTCCCTGGCGGTATTCCCGAGTGTAGCTCGGGGTAAAGTTTCAGTACCACAAGCGGTAACCCCCGATCTACACTCGGGAATAACTTGCAGCACTGCTCCGGGATCCCTCGATCACTTACCTTGTCCTGTGCTCCCGCGATGTCCCTCCTGCAGTGTCTCCGGCAATGTAATCCGGCGGATGCCGGCATCTGTCATCTGGGTTCCGTCCCCTGCGAGCGTGGGGACGTACGGGGGACGGAACGGCGGGAAATTTGAAAATGACAAAATGTGACATTCACTAAAATCACATAGTAAAACATTACTGTATCAAACCATTTCACATACATTTTGTCCCGAGTGCTTTGTCCTGTGCCCTGCCTGCATTTTTACTGTTCTTTCTGCCTGGAAACTGAGAAATGTCCATGGCGTCCAAAAAGCGTCACTTTAGGTCAAAAGCAGTTTTAGACCAGCTAGAGAACAGCGATAGTAAATCAGAACCACTTGCAGAATTGAGTGATAATGATTCTTGGGGAAATTCGTCATCAGACACTGAAAACGATTTTGCGACTTTGCTCAGTGATGTGCGAACTTGGCGCTATATTTCAAATTTCAGTGTTTTTGGTTTGATTATATTATTGAATTAAATTTATTATTATTATATTATTATTTTTTATGATTATTTATTACATTATAATTTATGATTTCGTGTTTCAAGTTTTATCATACCCGGGATGTTTACTAGACTCTTGTTCGGACAGATTTCAGTGAGTTACTCCTAAAAATTACAGGCCTACAATAAAAAAAATACATATTTCCATGCAAAAAAATGTACCACTTTGAGCACAGAAATATGGACATAATCAGACCGCTAGGGAGGTTAAGAGAAGGCTGGCAAAGGAAGAATGGCAAAACCTTCCTTTGACTACTTTTGTTTTAACAGAATAAAACAAACGTGTTTGCCCCCATTCCCCCCCCCCACACACACCGAATTTAATTTAAGCAAAGCACAGGTTCACTTTTAATTGCCTGCCATATGGGGGTAGCAACTGGTCAGGTGTAAAATTTTATAGTGGCCCTCTCTGTCAAAAAGATAGTAGTTAAAGGAAAATATACTCTTTCAACCAACATAGCGAGCACCTCTTCTTTATTTGCATATTTCTTCCACAAAGCCATACATACATTAATACCACAGCCAGGTACTCATCAGGTCTTCATCTCACAGATCTCCCGGTACCAAGACTTTTTTGAGAGCTGGCCATATCGGTGCATTTGTTCTCCAAAGACTTGCCTAGACCCATCAGCTGTATCCTCGAGTGTGAAAACACAGCTAGGGCTCGGAAGATTTTTTCTGCCAGGAAACTTGTGAGATGCAGGACCGAGAAATGTTTTTTTTTTTTTTTTTGTGCAAACAGTTTAAAGTGTTACTAAACCCACAGCAGTAAAAACAGTCTGTATATGCAGTAAAGCATGCTTGTTACACTCACTGTGTATTCTCTGATCCTCCCTTTCTTTTACTGTCCCCAATCCATCTGCCATAGTACAGAGCAGCACCCAAAGTTTGTTGTGTATTGCGAGAGAGTTTTTTTTTTCTTTTGGGATGGTGCATGTGATCAGCAAAGGGCCAATCAGGGCTGTCCAAACACAGGGTCACGGGTCATGCAGCCTCATAGGACTGTCAGAGGAGAATAAAAACTCCTCCTACAACATTACCGGTGCTCAGTCGGACACTGAGAGAAGTCACAAGACTGTTTAATACTGCTGATGAGAAAACATATTTAGCAGTTTATATTTACTAAAATAATTGCATTTCCATGTTCTGTGTACTGTGGGAGATCAGATATAGTGAATGCAGGGTCCTGGGTTTAGCAACAAGTTAGAGTGGAGCTCCACCCAAAAGGGGAAGTTCTGCTTTAAGGACTACTCCCACTGCTCCTCATTAAGGATTGGCACCTTTGGGGGGCGGGGGGGAGGCAGGTACCCGAATTTGACAGGTACCCGCTCCCACATCCGGTCCAATCGCCCTAGGTGTCCTCCCTCCCTGTAGTCTTTTGGGACATGTGACAGGTCCCAGAAGACCACAGGACCATTCATGAAGAGCAGCGCTACTCGTGCATGTGCAGTAGGTACCCGGCTTTGAAGCCGCAAGCTATCACAGCCAGGTGCCCACACTGAAGATGTCGGCCTCCTGGAATACAGGACGGCCAGTGAAAAGGGCTGCGGGGGGGACACCACGGGACCGAGGGACAGGTAAGTGGCTGTTTTTTTAAAAGTCAGCAACAACAGTTTTTGTAGCTGCTGACTTTTATTTTTTGACAGGGTGAGCGGAACGCACCTTGAGTACCTGAATTTGACCTGGAATCAGTCCCTTGCAATCCCCTGTAAAGCAGGGCTCAGACTAGATGACAGAAAAGCAGCATGAGAAGCCAGTCAGTTGTGCTGCGGTACTTAGGTGCTAAAAAGGCGAATCCTAATAGAAGGAGAAAGTAGAGGAGAGACAGAAAGATGAGCTTACCAGTGTGCTTCTCCTTTTCCTTTCTTAGGCTGGAGGAGGGACAAGACCTGGCTGTGTTATATAACAGCAGTAGAGAAAAATCAGGTTTTCTGCCTTGTCAGACAGGGCTGTTCTGTATGCAGTGGTGTTTTTTTTGGTTTTGTGCTGCCCTAGGCAAGAGTAAAATTTGGTGCCCCCCTGACCAAAGCCCTCACAAATTATATTATGGTCAATAACTTGCCTAGGTACATTTAAAATTCCACCCACGGGTAGATTAATATGCAGAATCATCTGCTGAACGTCTAGATATGAAATATGACATACCTGCTGGGACGGTTAAGGAGATGTCATTTTCTGCTCTCCTGGAGCTGTCAGCTAGGGGGTGTAATATATCAGGCGATTTATATTAAAGTGAGTCATCCGAATATGTGCTCCATGTTTGTGTAATTATTTCCTATTTGGAGATATAAAATTATATGGAAAACCTGGGCTTTTAAATGTAAGCCTGGTTTACGACTACCTGGAATGTCTTTGAGCTCAGTGAAGGACTTGGTTTATGGTTTTATGATCCTTTTCCAAGCAGAGTCTCGCAGACATATGGGGGCCAGGCTAATTGGGGTTTATAGCCATGAGCTCTCCCACTGGGCCTTGATGCCTTTTTGAACTCAGCATCCAGGGACCACGTGTCACTCAACAGAGAGGGAAGGGGGGTGAGGGAAGCTGATTTGGGAGTAGAGAATGATAGAAGATGGAGGCCTTTGCCAAAATGGAGGTTTGCATCGATCTCTGTGTGCACGATTGCTACAGGCCCCATGAGTTGTCAGTCCGCCCCTGGCTCCTATATATATGCTTTTATACATTGTGATAAGATTATTTACACCAGACTGATCACTCTCTTTAATATACCTTTACAAAGTAACGCATGTTAAGTTACTTTTTTTTTCCAGTTTTGTATAACAAGGAGTAAAGGATGTAAGAAGTTTGTAATGCAGATCTGTATGTTGGCAGCCTGTGTTCCCTGCCATGGGAATTCCTGGCACAATGGTAATTATGCAGCGGGTACTACTAGCAGCTGACAGAACCTGGGCATGGTGCACCAAGGCAGATGTTCCTCTCTGAAATTCTGCACATTCCCAAAAGACCTAAAGGAGAGACTTACAAATACAATACATGCTTGATCTATCACTTCTGTCTCAGTCTAGTAGAGCAGGCAAGCAATGTGAACATTAACATGGCTCAGTGGATGTGGAGATGTCTGTACCCTGTAATTGGAAACATCTGGCAGCTTGACAGTAAGCAGATCTGTTCAATAAGAGTTGAGTAATAATACAGCAACAATTCATCAGTGTTCCCTCAAGAAATGAAGAATCACATTACATAACTTCACTGAGCATCAAGTATTCTCTGCATTTCTTACACATATCAACTTAAAGGTCACCTGGCATAACTTGACTGCAATATACAGATATGTAATAACAAATACAGTTAAAGGAGGAAAAGTTCAAGAGGGGAATTATTTTCCTGGGGTTGCCTGCGGGCTCAGATTCTTTACTGCGATCTCTTCTTGTCACGTCATTGCATTTTCAGCATTGTTAAACAAACCTGTGCTAGGAACAGTAGTAGCACCAATCCATTGCAACCAGCCAAATTTCTATTTACTGCAAAAGATTAACTTTGGTTGCTGTGACTAATGGCATTTTCTCATTGTATTGTCAAAGCTTGCAGAGATGTCCAAACACAAGGGAGTACTACAGCTGATTAGATCATCCCAGATTAAAAGGGCAGATCCAGACAACAAGTGCCTCCAGATTCCATCGAGCAAGCACCACAGATGTGCTCAAATTACATAGTTACATAGTTAGTCTGTCTGAAAAAAGACAAAAGTCCATCCAGTTCAACCATAAAAAAAAAAAATACATTTATACACCCACAGTTGATCCAGAGGAAGGCAAAAACAAACCAGCAAAGCATGATGCAATTTGCTCCTGCAGGGAAAAAAATTCCTTCCTGATCATCCAAGAGGCAATCAGATATTCCCTGGATCAACTTTATCTATAAATAGTAACCAGTTATATTCTGTTTATCCAAGAAAGATCCAGGCCTTTTTTAAAGCAATCCATTGAGCTGGCCAGAACCAACTCTTGAGGGAGTCTATTTCACAGCTCTTATTGTGAAGAAACCTTTCCGTGTTTTCGAAATTAAATTTCTTTTCCTCAGACTTAAAGAGTGCCCCCTTGTCCTATCTGATGACCTCAGGGTGAATAACTCTACACCGAGTTCCCTATATGAACCACTGATGTATTTATACATGTTGATTATATCCCCCCTTAATCTCCTCTTCTCAAGAGAGAATAAATTCAGTTCCTCTAATCTTTCCTCATAGCTCATCTCCTCCATGCCTCTTATCAGTTTAGTTGCCCCTCTCTGTACTTTCTCCAGTTCCCAATGTTCTTTTTGTGAATTGGTGCCCAAAACTGAACAGCATATTCCAGATGAGGTCTTAGTAATGATTTGTACAGGGGTAATATGATATCTCTCTCTCTGGAGTCTATACCTCTTTTAATACAAGAGAGGATTTTGCTCGCTTTAGAAACCACAGCTTGGCATTGCATGCTATTATTAAGCTTGTGATCTACCAGAACTCCCAGATCCTTCTCCACCATTGATTCCCCCAGTTGTACTCCCCCTAGTATGTATGATGTATGTATATTCTTAGCCCCCAAGTGCATAACCTTACATTTATCAACATTAAACCTCATTTGCCACATAGTTACCCAATTAAACAGTGCATTGACGTCACCTTGTAAGTTGGAGACA